AAGTGGTCATTTAGGTATACATGAACCATTTTTCCTTCTCCAAATAAAGCTTATAAAACCAATCCATTCCATCTAAGTTATATTTTGCAATATAATCAGTCCATCTTCTCTTAAACTCAGTAACGTTAATTCTATCTAGGACTAAAGCCTTAAATTCTGCCTTTGCAATCTTACCATCAAGAACTCCGCTTAACTTCGTCGGCAACTTTGCGAATATGTGCTATATACAATATCTATGTACCGTATTTGGCATCAATGCATTGATGGCAGCCTTAATACTATCACATTGGTCAGTCATGATAGCTAATGGACGAACATTGTTTAGAGCCCCAAGCCATGTAGAGAGCATCATTTTGTAACTTGTTATATCCTCACTAGACATAAGAGCACATCCCAAAAGTATGGACTGCCTATGCTGATTGACACCAACAAATAAAGCAAATGGCATATTGTATCGATTCACAAGGTATGTGGTATCAAGGTATATTACATCATGGAACTCCTCATATGAAACCTTAGAGTGTGAATGAACCCATACGACATTACGAAGTCGACCAAAACTATCCACATCTATGGAGTAGTAAAATTCCCTATCTTTTTGCTGCATGTCACTGGAGAATCCCCTTGTTGCAACTCAAGCTTTCTACTCTTCAAAATATAATTTCTACAGTCCTTTGGTGTACACCCATATTTTCGGGGCCACCAACAAGTACTTCAATGACTCTTATATTTTTTGAGGGTTTTAAGCCATCAATATCTTTGGCTACAAGAGTTCTCTTAAGAGACTTACTAAACGATTTGTGTCCAGCCATCAATCGCAATAGTGCTGGTTCCAATTGATGATTATGTTTTTTAACCACCTTTGAAACACGCTATGAACCATTCTCCTCCAAAATTCAATTTATTCTAGCACGATAGTTCCTCTTCTTGGTAACATGCTTATTCCTTGGTTTCTGTGATGACCCAAAGGGTCATCTTTTGTTTTAGAACCCGAATCCGGGTTCCGAGGCCTTGAAAACCTCATTTTCTTTCTCCTCAATTTGCGTGCGCATTTTCGGAAAGCCTATATGTGAAATTTAAGAAGAATATTGAATTTTGCCTTTAGAATTAATTAAAGTTGGCTTCGGTCAACATTTTTGGTAAACGGACCCGGACTCGTGATTTGACAGACCCGTAGGGTCTGTAGTAAAATATGGGACTTGGGCGTATGCCCGAAATCGAATTCCGAGGTCCTTAGCCCGAGAAATGAATTTTTTGAAGAAAATTATTTGCTGAAAAATATAAGGATTTTTAGAAAAGGAATAGTGTGTGATCTCGTTGGTATCGGGCCTGTATTTTGGTTCTGGATCTTGGTACAGGTCCATTATGGTATTTAGACCTTATATGTGAAATTTGATGAAAAATGGAAGAGATTTGATGTAATTCGGACCCTTGGTTGAGAAAATAGAAATTTCGAACTATCTTGAGAATTTTATGAGTTTTGGTGTTAAATTCGTTGTTTAAGATGTTATTTCGGCGATTTGATCGCATGAAAAGTCCTTATGTTGTTTTTAGACTTGTGTGCATGTTTGGTTTGGAGCCCCGAGGGCTCGGGTGAGTTTTGGATAGGCCACGAAGTGTTTTGAACCTTAAGGAAAATTTTCTGGTATTGCAGGTCTGCAGACTTTGCATTTGCGAAGTCTGGCTCACAAATGCGAGCACCGCAATTGCGAAGAATCATCGCATTTGCGATGACTGGGCTGGGCAGGGGACCTTCGCATGTGCGAAGTTCATCGTCGCAAATGCGACATGAACAGTGGCCGCAATTGCGAACATTTGTTCGCATTTGCGAAGGCAGCAGGTCAGGCCACGCTTCGCATTTGCGAAGCCTTGGTCGCATTTGCGAGTTCGCACTGCGAACCTGTGATCGCAAATACGATATTTGCAACTGTTCAAAAATAAGTTTTCACGGGATTTTCACTACACTTATCAAATTTTCAAACCCTAGGCTCCCACAGGCGATTTTTCAAAGAAGAGTTCTTCCCCAAATTATAGGTAAACAACTTCTAACTCATTTCCTTCAATCTATTTCATCTTTTTACATGATTTCATCTCAAAATCTAGGGTTTTTCATGGGAAATTGGGTGTTCTTGAGTAGAATTTAGGAATTTCAAAATTTGGGGATTTGGACCTCAAATTGAGGTCGGATTTCAAAACCAATTGCATATTTGGGTTCGTGGGTGAATGGGTAATCGGGTTTTGGTTCGAACTTCGAGTTTTCACCAAGCGGGCCCGGGGTCGATTTTTGACTTTTTGGGGAAAACATTGAGAAATCTATACTCATGCATTATAATTGGTTTATTTAGTGTTAATTGATGTTAATTAGTTAATTATGCATAGATTCGGGCGGTTTGGAAGTGGAAATCAAAGGAAAAGCGGTATTTGAGGCTTGAGTTGGCCGTGGAATCGAGGTAAGTGTTTGGTCTAACCTTAGCTTGAGGGAATAGGTGTTGTTGTCTTATTTGCTATGTGTTAGTATTGAGTCGACGTATAGGTGTGGTGACGAGTATCTATACGTTGATGTTGAGCATGCAAGTGAGTCTTATATTGTGACCGTTGTGTCTCTCATCACGTACTGTGCATGCTTAAATTGATGATTCTCTATGTTGAGCAAGTTTTATGATACTTTTGGGTATTTGATCATTGTTGAGTATTGACTCAAGTTGAGGTTTACTTTGTGAAGTTAACTGTTGAAATAAGATTGGTTGTTGTTGATTCCCTTGCCGGGATGTTATTGTTTCTTCTGTTTGGGTGAGGAAGAGAGTAAAGCACGAAGGGTGATGCCGTGCACGATATTTTGAGTGAGTGTTAATGCACGAAGGGTAATGTCGTGCCGACATTGTGAGTTTTAGTGCACGAAGGGTGATGCCGTGCCATGATTATGAGAGTTAATGCACGAAGAGTGATGCCGTGCCATGATTATGAGAGTTAATGCACGAAGGGTGATGCCGTGCCTTTTCTGTTGTTTCTTATGGTGAGGACGAGAGTAAAAGCACGAAGGGTGATGCCGTGCACGTGTTACTATTTCATTATTCCTGTTGATTCGAATATGGTGTTTATTTTGCTTCTCTGTTGAATTACTATCAGAATTTGATATTCCCCACAGCATGTTTCCCCTTCCCATCTTTATCTGATACTTTTCTGTTATTATTGTTCTGCTCGTATATGATTTAACTGCACAGGTTTATATGGTTGTCGTGTCCTAGCCTCGTCACTACTTCGCCGAGGTTAGGCTTGACACTTACCAATACATGGGGTCAGTTGTATTGATACTGCACTCTGCACTTTTTATGCAGATTTCGGTGCCGGACCTTGTGAGTAGATTTGAGGTTGTTGCCTTCGGTCCAGGGAGACTCAAGGTAGATCTGCCAGTGTCCGTAGAGCCTGGAGTCCCCTTTCTGCTATTTTAGTCTTTCCTGTCTCTTTCTATTTTGAGAACCTATGTACTTCTTTCAATCTTATATTTGTAGAAATTCTTAGACGTTCGTGGATTGTAACACCAGATCACTGGGGTAGTTATGTACTAAAGTTGTTGAACTGTTATATCACTTCCGCATTTCATATTTGTTTGGTTTTAGCTATTATTTATTTCTGTTTGATTAATAATAATTGTGGTAAAACTGTAACTGTCGGCTTGCCTTGCTTTCACGAGTAGGCGCCATCACGATTCTCGAAGGTAGAAAATCCGGGTCGTGACAGTTTCCTAGACCTATCACAACCATATTGCACATAGTTAACAATATCACCACCTTTTTTGTTTGATGTTCTTTTGACAATGTAAAACCCTGATAATCTTGCATGTTCTTTATAAAAATCAAACATAACATCCTTATTACTGAACCGCATCCCAGTAATTTGACCAATTACTAAATCTTCTTCATTGAACTCATTAGACATTTCCCTGTCCTTTCCACCTTCTCCCTCCTCCTCTAAATAATGGCCGTCATCATCATCAACATCGTCAACATGATCTTCTCCATCATTGAAGTTGCCGTCCGATTCAATGTTGACCGACTCATCTTCATTCATCAAACTGCCGTCCGAATTCAACCCCAATGATATGTGTAATGCATTCCTTAGTTGCTCCGACCTAGTTTCTAGGTTGTTATTCGGGTTTAATGGCTCCAAACTAGTTTCTAGGTTAGTATTCATGTTTAGGTTAGGGGGAAGGGTGGTGAATTATGTGTTTAATGAAAGATCTCTTAACATAAGTGTATGGTATAACAAGGTATACCGTATAAATGGAAAAAATAATATTGTGTATACATACTAGACTTTTGATCTTCCCATCGTATAAATTGTATTTTTTTTAAAAACGTAATAATATAGGTATACATATACAAAGGCTTTTGATCTTCCCAAGCATGATAGAATGATGATTTATGGGGTCAATGTTTTGGTATAATGAATAGTTATTAACTTATTTTAATCGAAAATATTTAGGAGGGAAAAAATGGCTATTAAGCCAAATATAAAATGAAGGGCTGTAATGGTATTTCACCAGTGTGGCCATCGTTGGGCCACTGTGAGTTTGGCCAAATAGCAACACTCATAGTTAAAAACATCTCCTATTTAATATTTTTTTAATGATAATATAAAAGAGAAATATAACATATATTTTGAGACAGATGAGATATCTTAAACGGATTAAATGCACATTGGATATATTTTATATGTCAAAAAAGAGGCCAAATCGCCCCTCTACTGAAGATGATTTTAAATAATCCTTCTTTACTGTTCAGGTTGAAGCTCCATAAGTATCAAGAAAAAACAAAGACTATTTGCTAATGCAATGATATGAATGACGATAAAATTAAAATATTTTTTACCATTTTCCCTCTTATATAAAAAAAACAGAAGCAAGTTAAAAAAGATAAATTAAGCGCGCTTGGGCAAAAAGTAAAAGTGCTACTACTACTCAATTCACTAGTAGAAAAAGAAAGAAAAGAGAGAGAAAAGAGCCAAAATCCCGAGGGAGGAGTGTGGACTGAACAGTGACCAAAAACTTTGAGCTTTGACTGAGAGAGAGAGAGAGAGAGAGAGAGAGAGAGAGAGAGAGAGAGAGAGAGAGGAAAATGGGGACAGAAAACACAAAAGCAGCAAATTCAGAGTTGTTGAGTGAGACAGTAAAGTAAAGGACCAGCCACTGCCTTGCCCCCATTATTGATATAACTGGCAGCCATTCCGAATTTTAAGCCTTTACTTATTTTGTGTGTTTCTGCTCTCTCTCTCTATACCGTTACTGCCTATAGCTTTTCAGTGTTTGTGTAATACTCAATTCACACACACACACACACACACAGTGAATTATAGGTGGTTTCCGGTAATGAGTATGGCTGGAGAATCTGTGTGACTGTGTTTGTCTCTGTCTTCACTCTCTCTTTCTACCGTTACTGGCTATAGCTTTTAACTGTTGTGAAATTCACTCAATTCACACACACACTCAGTGGATTTTACAGGAATATTAAGTCGCCGGTAATGGGTATGGCCGGAGAATCATCATCGTCGTCGTCGTCGTATTCGGGGAAGCTGAAGAAAGCAGCAAAAAAGATGTTAGTTCAAACATGTGGCTCTTTTCGTTGTGGATACCAAAACCCTCCTTCTCCTGTCCCCGATAACACCACCACCACCATCACCTCTGTAAGTCTACTAAAATTCATTTAGTTTCTTAAAAAGAAATGAACTATTTTACCTAAATTTCATGCATTTGATAATTCTAATTCTACTTTCTTCTTAATTGTTCTGTGCAGGCATTTGCTTATCCTGAGCTGTTGAAGAATCATACTGCTGTAGTTAAACCTTCACAATTAGACTCTATTACTAACACGCCTTCTAACAAGGTACTTCCAATTTTGCATCCTCAATTTGTCAATTTTCCTAGTTGTTTTTGTCATTGCTTTGCTGCAAATTCTAAATGGATTTAAGTTATATGTACTGACAGTGTAAAGATTCTTTCACACTATCAATATATTAACCCGTGATAGCAACTACCGTTGTCAAGAGATTTACGTGTAATTACTTAATAAGTGATCTATTTTTATACTGTCAGTGCATATAACTTAAACTCATACCTAATTGTCCTTACTTGTGGATAGAGATATCCACAAGATTTATAATTTGAACTTTATGGGTTTAGATATTGGGATTCCACCACAAACGTTTGATTTACTGGGGTTATTTGTACTTAATTAGTGAACTCTTTTAAAATAAATATACAAGGTTCGGGCCAAAGCTACCGGTTCCAGTATAATTAGCTTGTCTAAGCTAGCTCTTGTTGCCCTTTCCTTATCATATCATGGCTAGCATTCACTATATTTCTTGAGATTCTTCTTTCTTATGTAATCTTATCCTTATAAATGTCTGAATCCTCAATGTCTTAGATGTATTCGCTACATGAGAGAATCAAAGCTGTGAAATTTTTAATGCTGCATTGTCATGGGTAAAACATATGATATTCTGCTACTGGAGGTGAAAACTCAAGTAATCCCTTCTTGACAACAGGGAAGGAAAATATTAAATGATAAATTTGGGTGGGTGGGGGGTGGGGTGGGGGTGGGGGTGAGGTTGTGGGAGTAGCACACTTTAGAATTTCTTATATTATTAGTTTCTCCTTGTTCAATAAATGAGTAGTAATTCTGTGCCATCTGATTGAACATTCCAAACACACCGAGTCTTTTCTAGTTTTCTTTAGAAAGTTATATCTGGTTTTTTTTTCTTCCTTTTTTATGTTTTAGGAACTGGTCTATTTCTTTTTGGCGTCAGTATGCTGAACGTCGCTTGTTCCTTCAAAGAATCTCCAAGGTCCTGCATGGGAATGATTACTACTATGTATTTATTAGTTCCTTTCTGTTGGTCTTATGCTCACCTCTTCCATCATGTAACCATTTGATGTGATCCATACCATCTACCATCCATTTGCAATTTAGAAAACTCATTCTTCTCTTTCTATTGTTTGGCAGAATTTTTGTCCAATATGTCTGGATCCGTTGACCTATAGCTGTGACAGCAGCCCAGGACAAGCTATATTCACAGCGCAATGCTCTCATGCTTTTCACTTTGCTTGCATATCATCTAATATCCGCCATGGCAATGTTACTTGCCCTGTTTGCCGTGCACATTGGACTCAACTACCTCGGACATTGAAGATGGATTATTCTGCTCACAACAATCAAGCTGATCCCATTCTCCAGATTCTTGATGAATCAATTGCTACTTCGCGGGTACATAGACGTTCCTTTTTGCGCTCTGCTCGCTATGATGATGATGATCCAATCGAGCCTGACCGTACATCAGATCTTCACCGTCTGCATCTGTCTTTGTCACCTATCACTCATGGTACCTCTATGTTTGATCCTTGCTCAAATCCAAAGTCTGGCTTTAGTTCATGCCATTGTCCTCAGCATTGTCTATCTAGTTCTTCTTTAGAATCTTCACATCCAGCAGCGCAACATTTTGCAGAACGCGGGCAGACCCCTATTGTTTCCACATCCTCTAGGAGAGCTTATCTCTGCTTAAAATTGGCACATCAGCCGGCCACCGACTTAGTCTTAGTTGCAAGCCCAAATGGACCTCACCTAAGGCTTATGAAACAAGCCATGGCATTGGTGGTATTTTCACTCCGACCTATAGACCGCTTGGCTATTGTTACCTACTCTTCTGCCGCAGCACGTATCTTCCCCCTCAAGTGTATGACCTCTTACGGGAAGCGGACAGCACTACAAGTGATTGATCGACTGTTTTATATGGGCCAAGCTGATCCAGTAGAAGGACTCAAGAAAGGAGTAAAGATACTAAGAGAGCGCACCCACCAAAATCCTCATTCTTTTATTCTGCATCTGTCTGACAATCCAACAAGATCTTTCCATGGGTTTCACTTGGAACTTCCTATTACAATCCATAAGTTTCATGTAGGATTTGGATTTGGCACTTCAAATGGGTTTGTCATGCACGAGTTTGAGAGATTTCTTGCTAAAATATTAGGTGGTGCGGTTAGAGAAATTGCATTGAGGATTGGGCAGGACTCTAGGATTATGAGGATTGGAGAATTACGAGGGGGTGAGGTGAGGAGAATCCCGTTGCTTTTGGAAGAGTTGGACCAGGTCCATGTGGTGTATACCTACATTGATTGCATGATGGATGACTCTGTTAAAACAGGGGAAATTGTAGTCAGAATTGGTGATAGAAAAGAACTGACTGATGCTGTTGACGCTGTTGAAAGCACAGGCGGAAGAAGTAGCAGTGTTGAGAGCTGGGAATATCACGATCCGTTCATGGCTAGAAGATGGGCTAAGCGTTTGCATGGCTATAGGATATGATGTTCACGACTTTGATTCCTTACCCTGAAATCCTTGATCCCATCACTCCGATCTCCGGGGATGATCTATTAATTGAACAAAGATTTTTTTTTTTGAGAATCTGTATTATACGTGAGATCTTGAAATGCATGAATAGATGTCTTGTATATCTGTGTTCCTACTTTTCTTAAGGAATCTTCTATAGTTGGGTGCATTGTTATGTTATTTTTTTCCAAATTTGCAGCATTTATGCTCTTCATGTGTTAGCAAACCTGTTTTACGCTGACTATCCCTTTCATCTTCGTGCTTGGCCGAAAATGAAAATATTTAAAAACTCAAAGAAGAGAAGTCCAACTATGTTTATGCTAGTTTTCAGCCTACCTCAATTCTTCTCTTCTCCTTCATCCAGATTTTGGACTGACAATATGAGCAAGCTTACACTGGTTACACTGGTAGACTGTTGAGCTGTTTGTTGTATTTATTTCCCATATCCATTTGAGTTTCAGGTGGTCACTGCCTATTGTGTTCTGGCGATGAAACTATAGGCAATTTTTGATATAAGGAGGCCATCATTTGAAAATTCCCTAAAGGAGGATATAAAGGTGTTTTAGATTTTGGTTAATGTGTTAAGTAAAGTGAAACTATTGTTATTTCCCTGTTAATGTGAAACACGGTTTAAGTATTCTTGATTCTTATTTAAAGTTCCCTCAATCATGTATCTCAGGACATGTTAATATTCCCATATTTTTGTGTGATATAGTCCCCACCTGCATAAATTGCGGAGACCGGCCCCGAATCGTCTAAAATTTTGCGGACCCATAAAAAAGACCTCATGAACAATAGTCTCGCTTCGCCATGACCATTCCTCGTTTTTGGCGATTTAGGGCCATAAAACAAGAATTCAAGACGATTCTTGGATTTTCATGTACCATAGTCCACATAATCTACATGAATTTGGGCGACCGGCCCCGAATCTCCTAAAATTTACGGGCCCAACAAACACGACCTAATGAATAATAATTATCGCTTCGTCACGATCGTTCCTTATTTTTGGCATTTTAGGGCTACAAAATAGGAATTCAGGACGATTCTGCCATTTGCATGAATTCGGGCGATTGGGCCCGAATCTCCTAAAATTTGTGGGCCCATAAAAAAGATCAAATGAACAATAGTCATCACTTCGCCAGGGTCGTTCCTTATTTTTTGGCGTTTTAGGGCCATAGCACAAGAATTAAGGAAGATTCCTAAATTTTTGTGTGCTATAGTCCAGGTCATCTGCATGAATTGGGGCGACCGGCCCCGAATCTCCTAAAATTTTACGGCCCCATAAAAATCGACCTAATGAATAATAGTCATTGCTCCGCCACAACCGATCCTCATTTTTTGGCATTTAGGGTCATAAAACAGGAATTCAGGACGGGCAAAATTTTAGGCGATCCGGGTCCAGTGGCCTGGGCCCATGCAGGAGGCATGGCTATAACACACGAAAATCTAGAAAACAACTGGAATTCTAGTTTTATGGCTCTAATACGCCAAAAACGAAGAATGATCATGGCGAGGCAGTGGCTATTGTTCCTTATGTCGTTTTTGATGGTCCGGCAAAAATTTAAGCGATTCAGATCCGGTGACCCGGGCCCATGCAGGAGGTGTGGGTTATAGCACACGAAAATCTGGGAATCAGGCAAAATTTTAATTTTATGGTCCTAAACCGCCTAAAAATGAGGAACAGTTATCGCGAGGTGGTGACAATTGTTCCTTAGGCTATGTTTGATGGTCCGATAAAATTTTAGGCGATCTGAGTCCAGCGGCCCGGGCCCATGCAGGAGGCATGGGCTATAGCACACGAAAATCTGGGAATAGGACGGAATTTCATATTTATGGCCCTAAAACGCCCAAAAATAAGGAACGAGCATGGCGAGGCGGAGACTATTGTTCCGTAGGTCATTTTTTATAGTACGGCAAAATTATGGGCGATCCGGGTCTGACCATGCAGGAGGCGTAGGCTATAGCACACGAAAATCCGGGAATCAAGCGAAATTCCAGTTTAATGGCCTTAACGCCAAAAAATGAGGAACGGTCATGGCGAGGTGGTGACTATTGTTCCTTAGGTAGTTTTTTATGGTCTGGCAAAATTTTAGACTGTCTGGTTCCGGTGGACCGGATCAATGCACGAGGTGTGGGTTATAGCACACGAAAATTTGGGAATCGGGCGAAGGTCGAGTTTATGGCCTTAAAACACCAAAAAATGAGGAACTGTCATGACGAGGCCATGATTATTATTCCTTACGTCATTTCTTATGGTCTGACAAAATTTTAGGCGATCCGGATCCGGTGGCCCATGCCCAAGCACGAGGTCTGGGTTATAGCACATGAAAATCTAGAAACTTGGACGAAAAGTTTTATGGCCCTAATACGCTAAAAAAACGGTCATGGTCAGGTGGTGACTAATGTTCCTTAGGTCATTTTTTATGGTCCGGCAAAATTTTAGGCGATATGGGTATGAGGGCCCCCACTCATGCAGGAGGCGTGGGCTATAGCACACGAAAATTTGGGAATTAGGTGGAATTCTAATTTTATGATCCTAAAACGCCAAAAAACGAGGAACGGTCATGGCAAGGCGGTGACTATTTTTTTCTTAGGTCGTTTTTGATGGTCCGACAAAATTTTAGGCGGTCCGGGTCCGGTGTCTCGGGCCAATGCACGGGAAGTGGGTTATAGCACATGAAAATCTAGGAATCGGGCGAAGGTCGAGTTTTATGGCCATAAAACGCCAAAAAATAAGGAACGATCATGACGAGGCGGTGAATATTATTCCTTAGGTTATTTTTTATGGTTCGATAAAATTTTAGACGATCCGACCCCAGTAGCCCGGGCCCATGCACGAGGCATGGGTTATAGCACAATAAAATATAGAAGTCGGGAGAAATTCCATTTTTATGGCCCTAATACGCCAAAAATTGAGGAACGGTCATGGCGATGTGGTGACTATTGTTCCTTAGGTCGTTTTTTATGGTCCGACAAAATTTTAGACAATCCGGGACTAGTGGCCCCGGCACATGCAAGAGGCGTGGGTTATATCATATGAAAATTTGGGAATTGGACATAATCCCAGTTTTATGGCCCTAAAACGCCAAAAGAGAGGAATGGTCATGGAGAGGCGATGATTATTATTCCCTAGATTATTTTTGATGGTCCGACAAAATTTTAGGCGATCCGAGTCTGGTGGCCCGGGCCCATGCACGAGACGTGGGCTATAGCACACGAAGATTCGGAAATTAGGAGAAATTCCAGTTTATGGCCCTAAAATGCCAAAAACACAAGCAACGGTGATGGCGAGGCGATGACTATTGTTCCTTAGGTCGTTTTTTATGGTTCGGTAAGATTTTAGGCAATTCGGGTCCGGTGGCTCGGGCCATGCAGGAAGCGTGGGCTATAGCACACGAAAATCTGGTAATCGAGGAAAAGTCCAATTTTATGGCCCTATAATGCCAAAAAATAAGGAACGGTCATGGCGAGGTGGTAACTATTGTTCCTTAGGTCATTTTTGATGGTCTGAGTTAATTTTAGGTGATCCAGGTCCAGTTGCCCGGGTCATGCATAAGGCGTGGGCTATAGCATACGAAAATTTAGGGATCGAGTGGAATTCTAATTTTATGGTCCTAAGACGCCAAAAAACGAGAAACGGTCATGGCGAGACAATGACTATTATTCCTTAGGTTATTTTTGACGGTCCGACAAAATTATAGACGATTGGGGTTCGGTAGCCCGGGCCCATGTATGAGGCATGGGCTAAGCACATGAAAATCTGGGAATCGGACGGAAGTCCGGTTTTATGGTCCTAAAACGCCCAAAAATAAGGAACATTCATAGCTAGGTGGTGAATATTGTTCTTATGTCATTTTTTATAGTTCGGTAAAATTTTAGGCGATCCGGGTTCGATGGCCCGGGCCCATGCAGGAGGTGTGGTCTATAGCACATGAAAATTCTAGAATCGGGCGACATTCCAATTTTATGGTCCTAAAACGCTAGAAAATGAGGAATGGTCAGGGCGAAGCAGTGTCAATTGTTCCTTAGGTCGTTTTTTATGGTCCGGGCAAATTTTAGGCAATCCGGGTCCGGTGGCTGAGGCCCATGCACGTGACGTGAGCAATTCCACACGAAAATTTGGGAATCCGGCGGAATTCCAATTTTATATCCCTAAAACGCCAAGAAAATGAGGAACGGTCATGCCAAAGCGGTGACTATTGTTCCTTAGGTCGTTTATGATAGTCCAATAAAATTTTAGACGATTGGGGTCCACTAGCCCAGGCCCATGCTGGAGGCATGGTCTATAACATACGAAAATCTTTGAATCGGGAGGAATTCCAGTTTTATGGCACTATAAATACCAAACAATGGGGAACGGTCATGGTGAGGCGGTGATTACTGTTCCTTAGGTCGTTTTTATGGTTCGGAAAATTTTTAGGCGATCCGGGTCCAGTGGGCCGGGCTCATGTAGGAGGCGTGGGCTATAGCACACGAAAATCTAAATATCGAATAGAATTCCAATTTTATGGCCCTAAAACGCCAAAAAACGAGGAATGGTCACGGCGAGGCGGCGACTATTGTTCCTTAGGTCGTTTTGATGGTCTGACAAAATTTTAGGCGATCCAGGTTCAGTGACCCGGGCCCATGTAGGAAACATGGGCTATAGCACAAGAAAATTTGGGAATCGGGCGGAATCTAGTTTTTTTGCCCTAAAACGCCAAAAAATGAGGAACGGTCATGCGAGGCGGTGACTATTATTCCTTAGGTCATTTTTGATAGTCCGGTTAAATTTTAGGCGATCCGAGTCTGGAGGCATGGGCTATATGGCATACAAAAATCTGGGAATCGGCAAAATTCCAGTTTTATGGTCCTAAAATGCCAAAAGAGGAGGATTGATCATGGCAAGGCAGTGACTATTGTTTCTTAGGTCTTTTTGATGGTCCAGCAAAAGTTTAGGTGATCCAAGTCCGGTGGCTCGGGACCATGCAAGAGGCTTGGGCTGTAGCACACGAAAATCTAAAATTCGGACGGAATTTCATTTTTATGGCCCTAAAACCCCCCAAAAAGGAGGAACGGTCATGGTGAGTCGTTGACTATTATTTCTTTGGTCGTTTTGATGGTCTCACAAATTTTTAGGCAATCCAGGTTCGGTGGCCCGGGCCCATGTAGGAAACATGGGCTATAA